CCAGCTTTCTTTGTCAAATGTCCCTGGCTATTTTTGCAAGCTGTTTTTCCCACATGAAGATTGAGGTCATTTATTGTAGTAGTCTGGCTTATGTTTGAGCCCGAGAGTGGAGAATCTTACTCATTTATGTTGTTTTGATTCTGAGAGACGCCGATGTATGCACGGTGGCCACCTGATACTACCATTAAACATGCTTCTAGCACCGTGTGTTTCTCCTTCTCATCTCTCTCTATTTCTGTTCAGACAGCAGGCTCTTTTGTCCCTACAAAGAACACATAGATGTCAACAGTTGTAGGTTTTATTAATTTGAAATACATTCATGAGATTCATAAATAGGCATAAAAGTGTATTTGTGTCATTTTCCTGGACATAATAAAGCTCATGCTCCATGATAAATTCACCTCAGTTTAACCACCATTTTTGCTCTCTGCAGTTTAGTTAGTGTTAATATAGATTATACTATTTTTTAGGCCTTTTCCACCTTTTAAACAATCCTATGGAAAAAATTAAAACGACTGCCTGTTTTCTTGCCTCAGGTCTTTTTGAAGGTTGACTTCAGAGAAAATGTGTTTCACATTTACTGTTTCTTCAAGCTACTCTTAAAAGTCTATTGGCAGCAAAGAATCCAGGGAGGTTCTTAGAATTTCCCTGTAATCAGAGCAGCAGCACTGTTGTAATAATCCATGCTATAATAATGTGGTAGATTAAATTCATAAGTCATTTTAATGTGCAAATGTTATTGGCTAATACAATATTATTAATGAACCGAGCTAACCTATTGAAATGAAGGACTTCTATGCATATGTTAGTCATGACACACAATTTTATTCCTATGGCCCCAAGTTCAAAGAGAGTTTGCTTGAATTTTTAACTATTTTTATGATATTATTTAGTCTTTATTTTAGAAAGGCTTTTGATGTTTTTCATTTAAACTCTTAATCTCATCCGTAAATCTTGTCTGCTGTGTCACAATAACTAGTCATCTAGCCTTTGCTGAAAATCTCCCAAACCCTGTTAGGTGCCCATACACCCATGGTCCCAGTTTCTTGAGAGGCTGAGGCAGGAGGATTAGAAATTGCAGAATAGTATAGGAAACTTAGTGAGACTCTCCCTCAAGATAAAATTCTAAAAGAACCTGGGGACTCAGCTCAGTGGTAGACCCCAGGCCCAGCATGTGGAAAGCCCTGTGCTCAGTCCCCGGTACTGTACGTGCACGTGGGCGCGGGCACGCGCGCGCGCGCGCACACACACACACACACACACACACACACACACACACACATATTCATTCACAGGCACACAAGCCTCATCCCGCTTTGTTTTCGAAGGTTGCTTTAACTGCTAACAAGTGTTCCTGTTACTGAACTGAAGGCTGATATAAAAATGCCCATCTTTTTGCACAGTGTCCCAGCAGGAAGTTTGCTCTACCTTCCCTTTATGATCAGTGCTACGTCAGAAATCATCCAGGCGGGAGCTCGGGGGAGCTCAGTCTCCTGTTGTCCCCCCGCTGGACCTGGTGATCCCTGCAGAGGCTGGCACCTTCCCTCACATGCATGGCTCCGAATAAGTGTGGTATGCGGGGTGCTCCAGGACCCCCCTGGGAAAGGCCTCCTCTTGTCCTGTGCCCTGGAGCTCCTCTCTGGCTTCCCACAGCACAGAGCAGTGACATCCTCTCTGTGGTCTTACTTTCATTTTGTTCTTGGTCATTTACACTCAGGTTTCCTTGGCTTCCTCCAGGGATTGTTTTCCTTACTGTTCTCAAATAATTGCCTAGTGAATTCCATTTTTTCCTTTTCCTTTTTGGAAAGTGTTCTTTCTTTCCTTCCTCGGAGGCCTGGCACTGTACCGCTGGGCTTTGCCCATAGCCCTCTTTCCTGACACACAGCAGAAGTGCTGAGCCCTGCGTTACTCACCTGCCACGACCACCCTCGTCTTCCCCATGCTGTGCCACACTGTCTGATGCACTCACAGTGACGTTTCTAAATGGCCCTGAGTAGCTTTCTTTCATATAATTCTCACAAAGGGCTTTTTCCATAGCAAGATGAGACTGCTGTCACCATTCTGCAGGTTAAAAATATGCCCTGTTTTAAATGATAGTAATTAGCAACTTCCGACCGGGTGGCGAATAAGCTGTGGAACTTCAAGCAGGTTGTCTAGCATTTCTGTGCCTTGACTTCTTTTTGTACAGAAGGAGAAACGAGTTAGGGTAACTCCTGCGGTTCTCCCGCCAAAGTTCCTGACACCTGAATGTCCTGTTAAGGACAAGGAGGTGAAGGTTGCAATGAGCTTTGAGAGAAAATGCTATTTTACATTTTGTGAAGAGGAGACTTTTTCCAAAACAATTTATTATGTATCTCTGAGGATTTACGGTCTGATGCTTGGGTGAGACCCATATGGATAGCACAATGGTAATTGCAGTGACACACATCAATGTGTCTGGCATTTCGTTTAGCTACTTTCTAGTGTGGCCAAGACAGCTAAAATAGACTTATTTAGCAAAAAATGCTCTCAGCAGAGCACAGTGATATTATTTATAGCTCTGGCGCTGTGGCTTTGATCTCTGGACTTGTTCATCCATTACGTTGTGTCCCTGTGTCCCTAGATCTTTTCTCCCACTTCCTCTCCCTCTTCCCTCCCCCTCCCTACTCCTGTTTCTCGATGTCCATTTGATCTTTATTTTTTTCACCCAAAGGACAGTCTGCTAAATTAAATAAGCCAGACACAGAATGGAAAATAGCATATGAGCTCACTTATCCGTGGGACCCGAAAAGGAGAGAGACATTTGTGAATGTCGCACAGAGAGTAGTTTATAAACACAGCTTCCAAAATCTCTTGTGCCTTTTCTTGAGGCTTCTTCGAAAGTTTGAAGAGAGTGTGAGCTGATGACCCACACTGGAAGGCGTAGTTCTCTTCTGTCCAAAAGTTCACTGCAGTGGAATAAATAGATCTCGATAAGAACAGGCGCACCGAGAACTTCTCATGGGTGACGGTCGTTGGGTGAGGTGAAGCAGAGGGCTGGCTCTTCATGCACATGTGGCTGGCGTGCGCGCCTTTCCCTTGTGATTTACTACAAGGGAAAACACACGCTTGAAGAATATGTTCCTGTGCCGAGAGACTTCGTTATGCTTTGTGATGAGCTCCAGCTGAAGACTCAGCGCTCCGCAAATTGGCTGCAGAGTGAATTTATGTTGTCAGCTCGCGCACTCTGCTAGCCTGGGTCACCACATGGCTTCCCTCTATGCCGTGCGCATATCATACGCTCTGCCACAGGACGAGCATCTGCTGTGACACAGCCGCCCCCGGGGTCAGTCCCTGGCCCCAGCGTACGCCGAGATCTGAGGACGCAGGGGAGTTTTATACAAATGGCATAGTGATTGCGCGCCGCCGTGCACCTCTTCCTGAATACACTTTACACCCTCTCCAGATCCCTTACAAGGCCTAAATCAAGTGTCCTGTTGTCTAAACCGTGTCCTCTTGCGTGGCTCAGGGGATAATAACAAGGAAAGGGGGTCAGTACGTCTATTGCACTGCTGCAAATTTTCCTCAGGTGTCTCCAGTCTGGTGGTGGAATGCACAGCTACAAACCCCAGGCGAAGGCAGCCAGCTGTGCTTAGAAGAAAGCCAGTCAGGAGCAATTAGGGGTTCTCCACCCATTTAGTGTAAAGCTCTGTGTCTAGGGCTAGAGAGGACCTTTGTGCAGGGAGACGCTTCTTGCTGTGTTATAGCCAGAGGTCAGAGTTCGGAGCCACTCAGCTATTTCTGTGTGGCCACCGAACCCTACGCTATATCTAGTGTGAACTGAGAGGCTCTGGGTGTGTAAGGGTGCACATCAGCGTGTGAACACTTAATTCACAGGAAAATAATAAAATAATATGAAATCGCTCCTGGTAACTCACACTGGATGGATGTTGAAATTATAACGTTTTTCTATATAGGTTAAAGGACAGTGTTACTATCTTCTGGCTTCTTCTGTTTGTACTTTCTTAATGTGGCTGTTTGTGTGTGTGTGTGTTTGTGTGTGTGTGTGAGTGTATGTAGAAAAATATAGGTATATATTGAGACAGGGTCTCTCCATGTAGTTTGAGCTGTCTTGAACTCACTGTGGAGCCCAGGCCAGCCTCAAACTCAGTAACATCTGCCTGCCTCAGCCTCCCTTGCTAGGTTTCCAGGTGTGCACCACCACTCCCAGGCTTCCTGTGGCTGTTTGAAACCTGCGACTGCATCAGTGACTAGTGTTGTAGTGCATCAGTGTTATAGTTCTCCCTGTCTACACCGGTCAAACGCGGTTCAGAAAACTTAGATTAACAGCCTCCATGTTTAAGTAAGATCTAATTAAGTTGATACACACTGCTCTTTCATTAGAAATGCGTGTAAGTGTTGTCCATTTTGTTCTTTGTGCCTGGGTCAGCAAACACCTGCTCCTGGTCACTTCTCGGTTGGTCTCAGCTCCTCTGTACTTCATGGTCTCCTGGGAACCTGCAGATCCTCCTGAGAAACTGTTTTTGCTTTTTTACTTAACATCGATTTCTTCCTTCTTCGAGCACATTTTGCATTGATAAAGTATATCCAAAAGCTAACACTTACTTCAATCCCATTTTAAGATAATCTGGAATGGCATCATGAGTTTCTTAGATTAAAAGTGCTTTGAGCAAGGGAAAGCCAAACACGGGCTTTTCCTCTGCTCTCGGGCACGATCATCTTCCTTACACAGCTGACCGTCATTCACAAGGTCCCCTTCGCGTGCGGTCACTTTATTATTCCAGTTTCCCGGTGCCCACCCTGGTAGACACTACCTGTACCACTAAGCATGGGCTTGTCCTGCATGAATGTGTGCTTTTGGCTAATTCAGTTCTTAAGGCTGTGCGTTAGAGAAAGCAGAGCTGTGCCACTTCACTTAAAAGCATGTAGGAAAGGTACTGGTGGATTTTTGCATCTCCGATCCCTCCCTTTGTCCTTTTTAATCTCTCGTGTCTCCCTTTTCCTCTCTCAAACGTATTCAGGACGACGCCCGCCAACTCTTTGTGCTCGCGGGAGCCGCCGAGGAAGGGTTTATGACTGCAGAGCTCGCTGGCGTCATACAGAGGTTGTGGAAAGACGACGGCGTGCAAGCCTGCTTTAACAGATCCCGGGAGTACCAGCTGAATGACTCTGCAGCCTAGTAAGTCCCACAGCCCCAAAACGAAGCTCTCACAAACACTTGCTGGCAAGTCGAATTGCTGCAGAGTTGGCTGACACGGTCTTGTTCTTATACGACTCAGGGTCTTCAGGGTGACAGCATTCACAAACTGTCTCTGTCTTCTGCGTGTACTTCTGGATGGCAATGCTCTTATGTCCCGTGTGTTCCTTCTTGTGGGAACTCTAACTGAAACATGCAGAATAGGAGTGTTTCTAGTATATTTCCAAGAGAGCAACGGACCTCCAAGAAGTGCTTTGTAACTATGAGTGTATCCCTCATTTACTTGGAGCTAGCCAAATGGAAGGGTGACTGATTTCGGTTCTGTTCATCATGCTAGTGGTGCTTTGTTCTGTGACAGATGCCTAAAGCCTTTTGAAGGAGTCAGTGGAGATCCCAAGATACTTTCCAAGTAAAATAGCTTTACTCTTGAAAATTGTGAGTGGAATGTCCCATGACATTAGACACTGCTTACAGATAATTAAATGCGGGTCTTTGGAAGAGAAACCTGCCCCGATTTTTCAGATGGTAACCCCAGAAAGTTTGTAAAATAAGTTGGGATAAATCCCAACCAGTGTTTTGCTCGGTGACCCACACAGAGCAATAATAACTTTTTAAAAAGCAACATTATTTTCATAATTTGGCATGCAAACTAAAGAATGTCAGACATTACATGTGTAGCATTAAATGTTCTTTAAAATGCGTACTGTGTGGGCTGGGGATGTAGCTCAGTGGCTCTGTTGCCTGCCTCGCAAGCACAAGGTCCTGAGTTTGATCCCCAGTATAAAAAAAAAATGTGTACTGTGCACTTTTAATACTTTCCCGCATTTTTCTGTTTTGTGGGCAGAGCTGTTGACCTACAGGAAAAAAAGTGGGATTTGCTAGATCATGACAGGTATTGGTAGATGCATTCATTTTCCACAGTGAAAGACGAAGAAGTGGGGTGTGGACCAAACTACCTTATCACATCACTGGCTGTGTGATATGCGCTGTGGGTTGTGTGACTTACTCTGAGTAAACAGATAGTGCACATCATCGTATCACCAACAGCCATATTTTCCCTCTATCTACACCTTAACATTTTATACGTAAGATTTATATTATTGTGTATAACATTTTTATGAGTCTGTCTTATTGGTGTCATCCCTTCTGCAAGGAAATACTCCTTAACCGAGAGTAGGTCCTCACTTTATTCTTCTGGGTACTCATAAATACAAAGCACTTCTTATTTGAGGTTATTTAATTTATATTTGTGTTGTGACTTTGTAATATTTTCTGTCCCTGCCACTGCACTTAGCTTCAGTGATGTCTGGTTTGGACCAGCAGTGAATCGCTGTCATTGTCATTACTCAAGGTGATCTCGCTTAACAATACATGAAGTAGCCAGAGTTCACACAGGCTAGAACAATTACTCAGAGGAAGAGCGTAACTCATGAGCTGTGTTGCTGGTTTTCCGGCAGCAGCACCTGCAGAAATATGTGAGCGGAGTCTCAGTTACAGTGAGAGGATTGCTCCCAGCCAAGCACAGCCTAGAGCTGCCTCATGATAAGGGGCAGCACCTGGGGACGGAGGACTGGCGTCTCCTCCTCCTGTGGGGACGCGGCCAGGTCCAGGACCACCCTCCCGTGCACACCGTGGGACCTGCACAGGGAGCAGCGCGCTGCTCTCCCACTCTTCCCTGTCTGCTCCTGCTCACCCGAAGGCGCAGTGATGCAGCCATTTTTTAAGAATGAAAAGTCGTAGCAACCTCGGTTCAGTGTGGTGGAGGCACCTCGCTTTCTGAGCTTTCTCCTGGAGGTGTCAGGGTTCTGCCTAATGCTCACTCGGATATCGAATTGCCAACTTAGAGCATCAGTTCGCTACCATTTAAAATACGGCAGTTTTCACAATTCCACATTTCTGTCTTACTGAAATATAAATGTGAATTATGTTTAGAGACTGTTAGAATATAGCAATTTTAATAAGATGTATCTGTGAGTAATCAGAACGTATTTGAAAGAATATTTGACTTTTAAAAACACAGTAAAATCTTGCTATGGTTTGTTTTGTTAAATCAGTATTTTTTGCAGTTATGTGTGGGGTTAAAAGGACAGATAAAATACTAGTGGGGGGGTTATCTCTGATGTGATTTTTTTTAAAACATCAGTAAAAACAATAAAGGTGGAACATACCTGTAAAACACTCATATCCCCCAGAGTGCAACATCTGAAACACTTCTGGCTCCAAACCTTTTGGATAAGGGATGCAGAACCCATGAGAGTCACCCACCCACACACCTGTACCTGTCTCCACGACTCTGTCACTAATTCAGTGTTTGCGGAGCCAACGGCGAGGAGCTGGGGTGTGCAGTGGTGTCAGGAGTGCTGTTCCCATGTACAGGGGACCTCGGTTCAGTCCACAGCACCGCCGTGACAATAGCAGTGATGCCATGACAATAACACAACACCACGATGGTAACAGTAACGCACACCTTTGGTTCGCGAGACCCTGTTCTAAGTGGCGGAGTAGCATGTTCAGAGGAAGATTCCGGCCTTATGCCTGGTAGCTGGTGCTGCCCAGGACATAAGTTTACTCTCTGAGCTGTCTGTCGCTCTGTGACTCCGGCTCACCAGACTCAGCAGTGCTGTTCCCAACACTCAGCAGAGCACAGGCTTGGCCAGGGTCTTGTGCCAGGCAGGGCCCGCCTGTTAGGGGCTTCCCCTGTGCTGGTCAAGCAGTGCCTGAGCCTGTCTCCTCGCTGCCTGACCGCCTCTGGTGGGGGCCAGTCCCGTTGCCTCGCCCATGCCTTTTATCCTTTCATCCTGTCACCCCCACCCAGTTCCTCAGCAATTCCCCCGCACTCCAGCTCTCTCTGAATTACATCTCTCCTGCCATTTAGCCTGGCACACAATAATTTACTTTCTTTCACTGCCTACGTTTTTAAGTCCCAGCATACTTGGTGGAATTGGCGGAGAGCATTCGGTGGGTGGCCGATGTCCCGGGAAATGAACATGGGTAGTGATTTAGAGCTCGGCAACATACAGGGCACCAGAAGCCCAGGACTGAGCAAAAACCTCCATTCGAACTTGGCCTGTAGTTTCCTCACTACTTTCTCCAAAGTGAAGACGTAAAATCTTCATCCGAAGAGTAAACTGGAGCACAGTCATCATTTTACATCAAAAAAAAGTGGGAGGAGGATTTTTAAGGAACAAACACATGGAGTTCTGGGTATTTTTTTAAAGCACTTACTCTCTTCCCCTTGAATTTCTGTACCTAGAAAAAGTACACACAAAAAATACTAAGAGGGCTGAGGATGCAGCTCAGTGGAACCGTGGCCGTGCCTGCCTGGCAAGTCCAAGGTCTTGAGTTCGATCCCCAGTACCAAAACAAAACAATACTAAGAGTTGTGCAGCTGGAGAAGTCTAAACATTTTCATTTCTGTAGGAATTATGTAAGACCTAGTCTTAACTTAGTGGTTTGGTATCATTTCACAGAAAACTTAAAACTCCCAGCGTTTCCCAGTATTGCGTGCATTTGCATATGTTTTAGGCTTTGTGTTGGAGACCCTGCATTGGCCATGTCCACCCTCAACGGGACACACTGTTGTTTGTCTTCCAGCTATTTGAACGACCTGGACAGAATAGCACAGCCAAACTACATTCCAACTCAGCAAGATGTTCTCAGAACCAGAGTGAAAACGACTGGGATTGTTGAAACCCATTTTACTTTCAAAGACCTTCATTTTAAGTGAGTAGCTTCAAAGTATAAAATCCAGAAATTTAGAAAGAAAACGCTATTACTTGAGAATTAGAGGGACGACTATACAAGTTGACAACACTTTCCTAGTTGGAAATTACACTTAGAAAATCTTTTCTCCAATGATAGAACACATGAATTTATGAGCAAAAGTGGGCAAGAAGACACATACTTTGAATGTTTTTATTTAGGGAAAAATAGCCAGCCAAGCAAATGCTGTGTTTGTTTGTTTGTTTTGTTTTGGTGGATGGAGTGATGCTTGAACCCAAGAGGGTTCTACTGCTAAGCCACATTTCCACTTCTTTATAATTTCATTGTGAGACAGGGGTATGCAAATAAGAACCTTTAGAATTACTCATGAAAATGCTTATCCACAGCAAAGTGACATCAGCACTCGCTCTTCCGAGCGTACTATTAGCTTCCAGAGGTGGCAACAGAGCAGCGCGGCGCGCGACAGAGGGGTCTTGGAATCCCTACGGTCCACGCCCCGTATCTTAAAATGAACCCTGCTCAGGGAAGGCCAGCGGAATATTACTTTCAAATTTGCAGAATTGCATTTCCCTTTTCCCATAAGCAACGCATTTCAGCGTACGGGGAGACGCTAGGGCGGACGTCAGCCCCTTCCGCCTCCGCCCCTCGCGTCCCTCCTCCTGGCCCGCTCCCCCAGCCCAGGTCACCACGGTGCCTCTGCTTTTCTTTCTTTCCATCCACCTCCCTCCAGCGGAGATGGTAACAACAATGGTGACAATAAAGCCCCGAGGAAGGATCACTCCTGTAAATATGTAAATACGCGTGGTGAGTAACATCACGGGATTTCCCACTGAGTCGAAACTTCTTTTTGTAGAAATCACAATGTGTGGCTACTTGATTCTCAAAATATACTGATTTAAAATTAGGGATAGTTCTTTTTATCCTTCTTGATATTATCTCTTTCCATATTTTGAAGCTAACTAAAGGGGTTGGCAGAAGTCTTGTTTGTTTGTTTGTTTGTTTTTTAAAATCAGCTGCAGCTTTCCCCTTGTTCCTGTTCACTGGGAACAGCCCTCCTCAATGAGTGCCTGGCTGAGCCAGAGCCCTGGGGAGCGGGGCCCACTCAGCACCAGAGAGAAAAGAACGAACACAAGGGGATTAAATGCGCTGCTCACTTCTGGATTTTTTTTTGTTTCTATTTTTTTGCTCAGCAGGTAGGAGTTGCTTTTTGTGCTTTTAACCCAACACGGCCGAGGTGCTTTGGAGGAGGGTTAGGCTGTAGCTGGGTATAACTGTAGTTGGGGCTGTCTACACCTGCTGGGCCTTACAGGTAGCTTGACTTGAGTTCAACAGAGTCTACTTGTTGCTACAGAAAATTGGATTAAAAAGATACTTAAGATCTACTTTATTCTTTATGAAAATTTTCATAATTTTTATATTCCTTATTTTTAAGGTTGCCTTTTAATAATTAACTATGAGGGGTGAGATTGTCATTTGTTATTGACTCATGATCTATTTTGTCCAATTATGATTAGTGGAGATCTTTATTGTTTTTGTAGAATTTGACTTTCTGTGACTGTACACATCCGCTTACTGTTCATCCTGCCTTACTTCTGTGGCAGCAGAAAAAACGAAATTAGAAAAGCAACTACGAATTGTTAAATCATTCTGTCAAAGATGAATTTATTTGTATTTGGATTGCAAAGAAAGTATATCCCATGTTATTGGAATTATTTTATCATTTTAGTTTGTCTTAAAATAGTACTATTCAAGATAATTATTCTAAATTAGGCTTTTGTGTGAAATATCAGTTAAGACTTGGTTCAGGTAACCCCCGTGTTCTGCAAAAGAGTAACTCTAACAAAGTAGAATCTCCAGAAGCACCCTAATTAGTAGCTCCTAACCAGAGATTTAAAAATTACCAGTTCACTTCCTAAAGAGCTCTCACTATTACACATCGAAAGCTCTCTTAGAATTACACAACTGTGTTTCTTATTGTTCCTGAGAATATTTTAGTTCTAATACTTTTGTTATACCATTTGGCAGTGAGTTATCAGTGATTTACATAACTTGAATTTTCCAGAGGAAAAAAGTTCAAATTCCGTTTGCCATGGTCTCCCCTGCAAAAAACAAAACATTGCCCTGGTTTCTTAAATGAAGATACAGATCACAGTCCGTTCATCTGGATGTGCTAACTTTCTGCTTTAATGCATGTATGGCTTTTATATGTGCTGTTACTTTATTTTCTTCATTTTTATAAACTCTCAGTGCACCAGTATTTTTGCTGTTGGTGTTCACTTATTGAAATGCTTATCTTCTTTCAGTGGGCTTACAGTTCTAGAATATTCAGTGACCGTGCAATACAGCTGCTCTGGGGACTGTTGCCATAGTTATTTTCAAGACAGTTCACTGTTACAATAAGATAGAAAATGCAGTTTTTTAAGCCTATTGCTGCTTGGGGTCTGTTTTGAGAGGGTTGTGTTTACCTTGTTTTAAAGAACAAGTTCTAAAGAATGCTTAACTTGTTCAGCCCAGGTGGTGGCTTATTTGTGGATAGTATGGTCTGAAAAGCAAGAGCCTGGATGCATTTGGCAAGGAGGGAGTCCCGCCCCTGTAGAGTGGCTGGACAGACTCCCTTCTGATCTTAACACAGACGGACACTACTATATTCTTTCCCATCATCAGATGCTGAAAGATAACCGAGTTGTTGCCTATTTAAAACAGACGTTGTCAAGGTGACGGACTATGCAGGGTGGCCAGGGCAGTGCCAGATGTTGACTGAGTTATTAGTACCAGAAGCGATCTAACTGCGACTTCCCCTCAGTGGTGGGAAGAGGCCCTGGAAACATTCACCGCCAGGCACCCGTCTCACTGCACAGGTAGATGTGGATGGCAGACCAGCCCTGGGGTCCACCGAGACCCTCCTGGGAAGTCCTTCCTTTTACTCTCCTGAGACTGCTGAGGAAGGTGCAGTCTCACCGGATACATTTAGTCCCTGTTCATTTGCTGGCTTAAGAGATAAACACGGGGTTGTCCACATCTTCAGAGAAGCTTTGTCTCATTGAATCTGTGCTCCGTTGCCCATCGTTGCCACAAATGGTCCCACTGTGCCTTCTCTGTAGAGACATGTGCAGAATAATTCTGCTCAGGACACACCAGGGTGTCCTCCTTTGGTAGATTGTTGTGCATTTTATGTTGGAAATCTTTGATTTTAACTGCTGAGTGAAATAGATTTCATCTGTTCTGTACCCAGTACGAAGAAATCCAAAATGTGGTGACAAGGCATTTGTTATCATTTAAGAATTCCTATTCTTGGAGTCCTTGTGGACGGGCATTGATGGCTAGGGTCTCTGTGACCTGCTTTAGTGAGGGAATAGACAGTGTTGTAAGGGGTGACGAATACAAAGTGTCTCTTCTGTTACAGGGCAGATTTCTGTCCCTTTCCTAGCAGTGTGAGTGTGTGGTGCAGTGTCCTGCCTACGAGTTCGGTGTCCGTGCCCGGTGAGCAGGGTGTGCTGGTGCTCACCCTGGGTGGCGGTGGTGTCAGGCACAGCCCCCGGGTTGAGCCAGTGCACCTAGGACATCCTGCATTCCCTTCCCCACCTCATACAGGATCCATGGGACTAGGCTCATCCCCTGATTGAGGATGGTCAGAAATCTCATCTTTTCCTTTTGAAGAGCATACTGTGTATTTCTTTTTTTTCAACTAGAAGCCCAGGTTTTGAAGAATAGTGTATTTAATAATTTTAAAATTTTAATTATATATGTATGGGACAATGAGTATCTCCTCCCCTCCATGTCTCTTAGACAAGCTCTTCCTAACTCACTAAATCTCCCAGGCTGGACTTAAACTTTCGGTCCTCTTGCCTCAGCCTCCCTCATCTTCAGGATCCGTAACTGTGCCGGGCATCATCTCATGGGTAAATGGATTCTCAGAAACACCATCTCCCTGCCAGTACAATCAGCATCTCCCCCCCTGCTAGTTCTGATTCACCTAAAATTGGAAAACTGTGGGTGTAGACTAAAGGCTCTTGGTGTCTGACCATAAATGAATGGCCCTCATTCACTCATAGTTAGATTTAGAAAATAAATAAGTTGAAAACTATCTGTATACAAAATATGCGATTTTCAGTTATGCTGATGCCTCAGTTCACAAACGTAATCCTTCACACAATTCTGGGTGCAAACTGAATTGGTCGGGAACCAAGTCCAATCTCCCCGTAAGGTCCACGTTAGACCTCATTCTACTGACTTTGATTGGATTTGTGGCCAGTTCAGTTGGTCAGTAAATACTCACGAAGTACTTGGTGTGTGTGCAGTGCTGGAGACACAGAGATCAGAGAAGGACCGGGCTTCATCTTTGCATGGAGAGAAAATACGCAGTTAATGTTTTGGAGATAATTGCTATAGAGCACAGTGGAATTTACTGGAAAATATGCACCCACGCATGCACGATAAGAGAATGTAGGTCTTCTAGCTGCGTGACAAGGTACCCCACCATGTGTGGGAACAAGGACAAACCTCTTCTCCCACCAGTGTGCTCCCTGGTGTCAGGCGGGGACCACTAGGGGCGCTGTGTAGCCGCTTCCTGCCCCTGCCCAGCACCATGGCTGTTGGCCACCCACAGCACGCTTGACCCCTCTGTGTGTGTGTGTGTGTGTGTGTGTGTGTGTGTGTGTGTTCCTTGTGTGAAGGTGTCCTTTTTGCTCGTGGCTTCATTCCTCAGTTTACCTTCCCACCCTCATTTTACTGTAAGCAGCAGGAACAGGGCTGCTCCCTTTCATACTTGGCTTTAAAGTTTCTCCAGCTAAATGTGCTCAAGTTCACGGCTTACAACTCAGAGCACAGTTCAGCCCGTTGTGGCCTCTGTGTGGCATAAATTATCTCTCCTGCATTGAATGGTAGTGTGTTTCCTTTGCAAACCTCAATAAAAGCATATTCAACATCCAAATACCTACATTCTATACGAGACTTATCAAAGAGTTATCCTTTTTTTTAAAAAAACTTCTTTTTATTGTGGCACTAGGCAGTGAATCCAGGGCCTCCACGCTGATCTACACCTCTAGCCTTTTTTAACAAAATAAAGTTTTATTTTGAGACAGGGTCTCACTAAGTTGATCCATCTGGGCTTGAATCCGCTATTCTCCTGTCTCCACCTCTCAGAGTGCTGGGATTGCAGGATGCATTTCGAGGTAGAACCACATCCCAAAGATACCTTCCCAGTGGCACCTAGAGACCGGAGTGATGAAGTAAGATGGTAACCTGGTCTAGCCAGTTTGGTGACTGGGGTGACCGTGGCAAGAGACAAGTTGGGGTGTTGGGGACGGTTGTTGTTTGTGTTGGGTGCACAGGGGATGGGTGATATCTTAGGACACAGAGAAGTTACCCAGGATAAGTTCTGTTTGGTCAGGTTGTTTTCAGATTGCGTCCCTAGGCAGTTTTACAAATGGTTACCAACATTGTCTTTTGTTCTGCTCTTCTTTGAGTTCTCTTACTGCTGTTTCCCTCTTGTCCATTTTGTATCCTGTCCTTCTTTGTATCTTAGCCATTTTGATTTACTATGTGGAAGAATCATTTGGTTCTATACCGTCCTTTAATACCAGTTTCCAGCTAAAGAAAAATGAAGGCGGCTCAAAAGATGATAAAAATAAAAATACAAGTTGATGTACTGTGGTATGGTTTATAGGCCAATACTGGTCTGTAGGGAAAACACTTTTTGCTTGGGAGTTAAATGGGGACTTTAATTAGTGCACTGTCTAGATAAATGAAGCCTTTAAAAATGTACCAGTTCTCCTAGTGTTTCCATTATATAAGTGGTTATTTCTAGGTTGCATAATGTAGCATGTGCAAATTTAAACTTTTCCTAACTTAATAAACTCTTGCCAGTAGAAGGAGGAAGAGGCCACCGTTGCTGTTTTGTTTCACGGTGTTACTACCCGTCCCACTAAGGCCAGTGGTTCACTCCTATGTAAAAGATTTTGTTTCTCACTTTGAACTTCAGTGATATTCAGTAGGGCCACTGTTTATTTCACGATCCGGCCCTCATTTTCCATTGCTGTGCTTGCCCCTCCTCATACAGACAGAGCCCTTCGCCCTCTTTGCCTCTTCTCCCTGCGATGTTCTTCCTTCACATGGACGTCTCGGCTGCTGCGTCTGAGAGCGCATTCTGCTGTGGGACGCAGGGAGCACCAGTGTCCCACGACTGTCCCCTCAAATGCGTCCTTTGATCTCGGCATTCCCAGTTGCCGCCTGGAACTTCACAGCGCTCACAGGCAGTGTAGCCATTCGTATTTGCTGCAGCGCTCTAGGAGTGCTCGGATGCTGATGAGTGCCCTTATTTTGGAGGAAGGTGTTTGTTTGTTTCAGAGAAACCCACCCTAGGGTCAAAAATTATAAAAACCAGCAAAGCTCCGCACTTGGAGAAAGCCAGGCTGTGACTGTTTTCCTCCCACCTGGAGTTCTCTTGTCCTTTTTCCCCATCCTGTCTCCCCGGCTGTCTGGGGCTTGTTTGCCTGCCCTCTCTGAGGTCCTTGGAGCAGTGGAACACGCTGTGTGTACTCAGCTCCTGCTTTCTCCTCTTACAGGATGTTTGACGTGGGCGGTCAGAGGTCAGAGCGGAAGAAGTGGATCCACTGCTTCGAGGGCGTGACCGCCATCATCTTCTGTGTGGCCCTGAGTGACTATGACCTGGTTCTGGCTGAAGACGAAGAAATGGCAAGTAGAACCAATCCGAAGGGCGGGTGTGGAACACCATGAGCTGGAGAGGTTGCCAGGAACTTTTCTGAGAAAAATTCTTGAGAAATTCGTGCCTCTGCCTGAAATGTTTGAAAGTTCACGCTTTCCTGCAGCCTTTCTGTTTGCATAAGAGAGAGAAAGTGGGCTGAAGAAGCACTGGGCCATCCTGGGGAAAAGGAAAAGATCAAGAGTCGGTCTCAGCCCACTGCTGCGTGGCCACCATGCGTATGAATTGTCCGCCATCCACAGACCGAGTGAAAAGAAAGCTTGGTGTGTGGTAGCGCGGGGACTCGTGGTCTGCACTCCATCCCTGCCGGTTTAGTCGTCTTCTGTACGTGTTGGGCTGTGCCACTGGAGGCTCACTTTCACGTGCCTCTCCATGTGCCGTGAAGTATTTCCTGGAAAAATATTTTTTAATAGAAATAGAAAAAAAAAAGAAATGTTGGTTTTGTGTTTTTGACAGGGGTGTATACTCCTGCGCTGCTGTTCACACAGGGCAAGAGCACACACCTTCCTCCCGTGCTCCGCGAGGAGACAGTTCATTGCCCTTTCTTTGGGAACACAGGTCCTGAGAGGACAGGGAACAGAAATGCAAAGCAGTCCCTCTCTCTCTCTCTCTCTCCCTCCCTCCCTCCCTCTAGTGTTGGGCTAATTTGATTTCAGGCTCTTCGGTTTCATGTATTAATCCTTAAAACCTCCACACCACCTCCCTGACCACTGTAACAATAACCTTTCGTTTCCAATGCCTGCACTTGGGCACCCCCCCACTTCGTAACTTCCTGTGGCTGGAAACTCCCAGGCACAGGAGGTGACAGGTAGGGGACCCTGAGTACAGTCTGCCTCACCCGTGAGGAGCCCCTCGTCTCACCTCGGGGCAGAACTGTGCTTGTTCCCCAGGGGCAGAAACACCCTTTGAGGGATGGCTGCTGTCTTTCAGCCGACCATCCTCTGCTGTCTTGCCACATTTGTTCTTTTTAAAGTAATCCTGCAATTTCCTGGCTCTCGGTGAAAATCCAATGTTGTCTTCCATTATAGAATCGAATGCATGAAAGCATGAAACTGTTCGACAGCATATGCAACAACAAATGGTTCACGGATACATCTATTATACTTTTTCTAAACAAGAAGGATCTCTTCGAAGAAAAGATCAAAAAGAGCCCTCTCACCATTTGCTATCCAGAATATGCAGGTATGTGACTTCCTTTGAATGGCTGACCCGGTCAGGTGTTTCTGAGCACAGCTTCCCCTTGGGCAGTTGGGCAAGACTGCTGTTGTTGGTTGGACTCTCCTGACTGAATTCTTACATTCTTAATTGATTCTTAATTCTTGGTGTAATTCTTACACCTTTGGGGAACGCTTGTCCACCTGCCTTTGAACGCAAATCATTTGTTCAGCTGTGGATGAGTTTGTGGAAAGTTAGCCCATCCATTTCACGGAGAGGCTGCCGATAATCTCAGAGACAGCTCCAGCCTTCATAAAGTTAAAAGTACTGACTTGTTCACCAGTCAGCAGATCCCACCCTGGTGAGATGTGCCACACGATCAACAAGATTGCCCACTCGCTGTCCAGTCTCAAAGAAATGCAGAGGTAATGAGAAACGGGAAGCAATCACAGGGCTTAAATGTCACTGCTGTGGAAGATGGCTGGAGAGAGGGAAGTAGACTTGCAGTGCAGTCCCGGCTCTTTCAGGATGAGCTCCTCAGTGTTGACCAGGGTGGTTAATTTATCTGGACCTGTGTGCCCTACCAGGAAGATCTCCGGAGACCTGGCCCGCAGCCCCGGGTCCAGTCCTATGCGGTTGTGCAGAGAGGCACTGGGCTGCTTCTCCAAGTGACTGCTGGGGACTGAGCTCTTGCCACACATACACACACACACACACACATGCATGCACACGCACGCCTGACTCCCAGGAAGCTGTTCCCTCATGAGGGCGGAGTAACTCACTTGCCGTGTTGCATGCATTGATCTCCTGAGTAAGATTTCCCTCCAGCAATGAGACTTGTGTTTCTTAAACATGAGACCACAGCCGCACTGCCCTGAACTGAGTCCTTGCTCGCTGACCACCTCTCTACTCTGGCACGGTGCTTCTCCTGTGCTGGGAGTTACCTTCCGTCTGACATGGTTTAACAGACTGGCTCACTTAAGAGCACCTGCTGCCTTTTTGAAAATCCCAGAATCTGTAGTCTTGCTACTCAGAGGCATTTTTAGCACTTATTAGGAATAAAACCATGTATAATTCAGTTTCCAAATTGGAGTTCTCTGGAATTGAGACGACTCTGTTTCCCTTACCTTGAATCTTTCATATTCTTTGTGCCAGTTTTTCTAAGGAAGTGGGCATTTTGTACCGATTCGTAACACTGATGGCTCCAGACCAATCCAGAGCTAGTGCAGCCCGTGGGGACCGCAGAGCAAGCAGGAATGTTCTTGGTAGCCCTTGTCTCGCTGCGCACAGTGTGTTCCAGAATCTTTGCCATGAGAGTGTTACGTAATACTGCGTGACCCCGGTGTTAAGATATAATTTAAAATCCACACTGCACGGCCTTTGTGATGATTCGCTGCTTCCTGCTTCTGCCTCAGCTCTGACTCCCTGCAGAACCACCCTGGGGAGACCCCGGCTTCACTTGCTCCAAGTTTACCTCCCACCTCTGTGATGTCCCAGTCCTGTTCTCTGTGTTGCGTGTGGCCACCAGCCCAGACCTCTCCTGTCATCGTCTCTGCTCATTTTAGCCTCACAGTTCAATCCTGTTGTCAGCCCAGTTTCTCCCTGGAACCTCTGGTTTGCATTAGCAGCTGCTACTTAAACACGTGTGCTTTTGGCACCTGGTAAATCAAACTCGGCTTATTTTTCCCCTCAAATCTCTTCTCTTTCTCTTGTGATGATGTAATCAACTTCTCAGTTCTCTGTTCTTGAACCTAGTTTCATTTATACTTACCTTTGTCCAGGACAGCTCCATCGCGCGCACACACACACACACACACACAGGGTCAGGCACTTTGCTGTTTTCTCTTTAAGTCTTAAAATGAGCCCAGAGAATGAGCTCCTGTTCACTGGCTGGGAGCCCCTGGGGTGCAGTAATTTAGATGCCCCAAGGAGCAATGCAGTGGGCTGTGCACCTGGTGTAAGCTGTTTTCTCAAACTTTTTTCCTTTGGAAGTTGCATTGGCTTCCGTGGGCCAGCAAGACGCTGTCATTACTTTGACATGTTGGAGCACCAACCGTATTATGCTGCAATCCCATGTGATTTGTAGCCACCTAAGAGTGAGGTGCAAACTCAGTCACGGCCTGGGGCTTGTGCTTTCCTTTTTATACCTTAAGTAAGGAGTCCCTCCTTCTGGCTGCCGGAGCTCTTCAGGACAACACCCAGGGGCCTCGTCACGGGCACCCTGTGCTGCAGAGACGAGGCTGAGGGCCAAGGGACTTGAACAGCTGCTGCCGAGAGTCCTGGTGCTGGAAGACAGGCTGGGTCCCTGGGGGGCAGCACAGGAACGCTCCCCAGTGCCTTTGCAGTGTGGATTGGAGGAGTCTAAGAGGCAAGGAGAGACCCCCGGGGTTTGAGCACTGGGAGGAGGCTGTGCAGTGCAGTTCTGAGCCTCTGAGAAGCCGATCGGAAGAACACATGGCGGATGGGCAAAGTGAACCCTGGAGGTGTGCCGGTCAGCAGAGGGCCGTAAACAGGCTTCCAGTGGACATTTGCCTTCAATATTTCATAGTTTACATGCATTGATATCTTTTGTGACGTTATGTGTGTATTTGCCTAGACACAGACACACATTCACAAACTCAGCAGAAATATAACTCACTGAATTTTTGAAAGTGTACGTACAAAGTGAAAAGTGCAGCCGTACCATACACCACTCAGTCCAAAAGGTCAAACATTTTGGCCAGGCAAAGGCAGCACATGTCTGTAATCTCAGCACTCTGGGAGGCTGAGGCAGGAGGATGGCAAAATTTGAGTCCAGCATGGGCAACTTAGCGAGACACTGTATCAAAAATAATTTTAAAAGGGCGGGGGCTGGGCATATATCTCAGTGTGAAGGCCCTGAGTTCAATGCATTCTCACAATCTTGGCTAATCATATACTCCCCCTGCCCCAGACGCATGCAGAATAACCGTTCTCTCAACTTTCTCTTAACTCAGTTCATTTAGATCGTTTTTTTCAAACATCAGTTGGTGTTCTGGTCCCTCGCTTCCTTTGTTCAGCGGAGAGTTAGTGAGACTTGCCTAGTTTCCTGCATGTAGCAGCAGGCGCTCTCCTTTCTGGGTGTCTACTCACTCACTGTGGACTACTCTGGCCTTTATCAGCCAGCGATGCTTGGTGAAGTTTTTGTGTCATTTCCAAAAGCGAAGGCGGTGCTGCTGCTGACATTCTCTGTCATGTTTCTCTCCGCACACACCCAGAAACTGGCTGGCAGGTCGGCGTCTGCACAGTTGTCTTTAGAGGAGACGGGAGAGTTTCTGAACTGTGTGTCTTCAGAGGAGATCTTTAGCCAGTACAAAAGCGGGAACCTGTCATGGATTTTGTGTGAGCTCTGAGCCTCCGTCCATGCCCACACCGCAGACCCCTGTGAAGTTTCCGAGAAGGAAAGTGAGTGGGAAATGCTCATGAACGTGTACAGCAGAACGGAAACAAAGCTGCTAGCCAGCATTCCTCCAGCGCTCCTGGTCCACACTGTGATGGACCTGTCCTGTGGCCAGAGTCTCAGGAGCTGAACCCAGGGCTGTGTGTGACAGAAGGGAAGGAAAAGAGGAGCTCTGACAGGTGGAGACGTAGGTAGGAATCACAACCTGGCACACGTGGGAAGCTGTACGAAGAAATGCTTAAAATTTAAGAGTGTGCAGCCGGCCTCGTGCTCAAGGAGAGGAAATCACATCTCTCAGCGGAGCAGAAGAGCAGTTACGCAGGAACCGACTTCAGTCTACTGAGGTCTGTTTAGCTTATCAGGGAAGGTACGTGAACTCTGTCTTACGTTGTCTTCTTTTTCACCCCTCAGGGTCAAACACGTACGAAGAGGCAGCTGCATACATTCAGTGTCAGTTTGAAGACCTGAATAAGAGAAAGGACACAAAGGAAATATACACCCACTTCACCTGTGCCACCGATACAAAGAATGTGCAGTTCGTGTTCGATGCCGTGACCGATGTCATCATAAAAAATAACCTAAAAGACTGTGGTCTCTTCTAAGTTTTGCAGCTCGTGGTACCGTGCGTTTTCAAGCCAAGTGAGTGCTTATCTATGGACTAGAGTCTTGCAGTGACACAGAATGTAGCATGAAGCACGAGCGCCCGGAACCCATCAAAGCCGCTCTGTTGTTTCTTTAGCTAAAGGTCCCAGAAGGGCCTTTCTTCCATGCGAAGGGTGGTCCTGCCCTGAGGAAAAGAAGGGCTGTGCTGTGGCAGGGCTTCGGGGTGTGGGTGGTGGCTGCACCTGTAAATATGCACCTGTATGGATAGTGTATTTATGACTCCAAGTTTCCACATGACTTCTCGGTTTTAAGTGTGGGGACTTACAACTCTGGTGTGCTGGCTTTGGAAATGTCGTTAAATGTTGAGTACGCTGTACTGAATGACAGACTATTACTGTGTTTTCCAGTTTTAAGAAGCTTTATTTAAGTTCATGCCCTAGAAATCGTTAGGTACGGTGATTAACATTAGGAAATGTCACAGCCCTTATCATGAATTATATGTATACTTATATTCATAAAAGTGTTATTTGTACAAACACTGCACAGACTATTTTAATACCATGATTTGGTCTTTAAATTTAATGTTTTATTGAAATGTTCTTCGAGAGGATGAGTATATCTGCCTTGGAATCAATGTAAAATTATATATGCATTTTAATTTTTCTTTGAAGAATGAGTGCATGCTGCTCTGGATTCTCATTAGATTTGGGTTGAAAAACTAAAATTCCAGATTTTTGAAAATATTCTGTCTTACAGACATTTAATTGTATTTTTTTTTCACTTTGAATTTTAATATCTGGATGGTATTCACCTTAAAGGTGGTGCCAGGTTACTTTTATACATTTTAAACAACTACATTTTTATTTGTAACTGAGTTTGGGTAGATGTTGGAAGCATTTTTGTGGGTACAAAAAACTGTAGCATAATGAATTTTGAGACATTCATTTGTGTATTTCCTTTGGGAAATCCCTTGTACTTAGCATACATTAGTTCTTTGTTTGGAAGATACCAAGAAAGATCTTTGAATACTCTCTTGCTGATGTTATGCAAGCTTTAAATTCATATATGTAACTAGTTTCAGATTTGATTGTTCCCTTAGACATTTAGCTCTCCTTGCCTTTGCTTGAATTTATATTCTTTCTTTTTAAATTATTCTATAATTTTTGAGAATTAAATGGACAATTACACTTAGAAAATGAATAGCAGTACTTAACAGAGTCAGTGATCGTTTCTGTGTGCAAATAAGTGTTACCTATCAGCTAGTTACTCAACTTTGACAGAATCGTTTTGTCTTTTGATTATTGACCTTGTCTGTGTGATCTTGTTTTAACAAAAAGATCAGTATCCCCATCCTGTTTCCCTTTTTTTATTCATCATGAAAAATCGAGTCTCTTAGGAAGTGTCACTGGTAAGTAGTTTGCAAGTTTAGTTCTGTGTCACCCTTTGTTAAGGTATATTTGTTGGTGTTTGTGTATCTGTGTGTATGGGAAACCATAGACTACATTCACAGCTGTTTGTTTGGGGGCTTTTTCCTTTTTTTGTAATGTGAGGAAATTCAAAGTTACCAAATTCTTCAAATGTGTTAGTCTAGATTCTTTATGTGCCTTTCATGAAAGATACACGTTCATTCATTTTAGCGGGGGAACACCTGTCGGATCCACATTGTGAGCTCTGTATGAAATTTAACTGTAATGCGAATAAATTTGAATGAGAAATAAGGTTGAAAAAGCCACAAAGAAGCACATATTGGTGACCATCAGTGACGAATCCCTGAACTTTATTCTGTGTAATTGTGTTACTAATGAGTCCTAATAAATTTACATTTTTAAAATTTTACAAACCTGTTGGCTTAACCCATTTTGCACTGCTGTGTCACCAACCACACGCCATTTCTTCGTTCCTTCCTTCAGGAGGCTCTTTTCGCCATTGTACCTGTTTCAGGAGCTTGAGTTTTCTCGGCCCCAAGTTTTCTCTCACAAACATGAGGTGCCAGTCTGGAGCCCCTGCCTCTGCGTTCCCGTCTGAGGGTTTGTCACCTGCTCCAGCTCTGTATGCTCCAGACCACACCCAGCCCTGTTCCCGCTGGGAAGCAGCTGTCCCCTCGCCCTGCCGTGTTAGCCAGTGCCATGGTCTGGGTGTTGAGGGGCACCTGCAGTTCACTACCCATGGGAGGTGGCGGGGCCATCAGGAGGTGGGGTCTGGTGGGCCGTCGCTGGGGTTGTGAGCTCACTGGGGGTTGTGGGAACCATTCCTTCCTCTTCTTCTCTTTGCTGCCTGGCCGGTGAAGTCAGCTTCGCTTTGGACAGGCTCCCACTGTACTCCTCTTTCTCCCCACGGAGCCTGGACTGTGGGACTCTTCACTCGTGCACTGGAATCTCCAAAACTGACTGAAACCCGCTACCTCTCTTTACAAGTTCGGCATCTCAGATACATTGTTATAGTGACGGGAAGCTGACTGATGTCGCTACTAAGTACCATCACCCTGAAGTCCGTCAGTTGAACTCCATCTGAAGGAAGGGCTCATGTCCTCCATCTCCGTGTCCATTGACGGGCTGCTCTGTTCTCCCAGTGCTCCCAGTGGCTCTTTCTCCCTCCCCGCCCATTGCAAGCTCCTAATCACCCCCAGCTACTTCCGTACTCCCCAGTTTCTGGCACTATACATTCAGCCAGCGCTCACGCATCCCGGGCTCTCAGGGTGACTTGTCCCATGTGCCGTGTATGACAATGCCTGGGGTCCCATCTGATTTCTCTCTCACAGCATAATGATCTCAAGATGCATACAATTAGATTTTTTAAAAATGCTCCCTGTTGTCTTGCCTCGGAGCCACTTATGACATCTTAACACCCATGAAATTGGAAGCTACTGAAGGCACAGTTATGTGTCTTGGCAACTTTGTGTCGTCTGCAGAGTCAGCCTCGGTGGCCACGCGGTGATCTGTGGAATGACGCAGTTGCCACGACAGATGTCACCAGGGTCGCTGTGCAGAGGAGGAAGTGATGTAACAGCCCTAGGCTCTGCTGCCTGGCCTGGCTTCAAGTAGTCTTGGCTACTCCCTTGGTAGCTGCTTGACTTCTCTGCTTCCGTTTTATTATCTGAGAAAAGTAGGGATCGGGTAGTCAGACTACTAACCTTAGTGGTTATTATAGGTCTTAGTCTACTGTGCATGTTCAACACCTCTAAGGCAGTGTAGCATGCGCTAAACCCTCCATACATTTTGCTGGGTTTTTTTGGTAATAAAGAATATTTTGCTATACTTGGGAGTGAATGGAGGACCTTCAGACAGAGCTACATCCCATCCTGCATTTTAGTTATTATTTTTGAAACAGAGTCTGGCCAAATCATTCAGTTTCCCAGGCTGAGCTTGAGCTTGCTGTCCTCCTGCCTCAGCCTCCCGGGGTGCCGAGATTATAAATGCATCGTCCCTCAGTCCAACTCTTGGGCTACTGAAGCGTAATCAGAGTTCATCCACTGTTACTGATACAATTTCGGAGGAAATGTTTTAAATAAAACAACCATCACATTCATCTTTGTAGTTAAAACTTCAGAGCGTCTGACCTTGATACCGATAAAGGGAAATGAGAATTAGAGGAAAAAGGCACCGATTTCAGGACACTTTTCTTATCTTAATGTAGCCAAAAGCACGAGAGATGATTTCTTGTTTCAGCCTAGTTTGAGAAATACTCTTTTTTATCTGCTTTTCAAAGCTCCACCTTAGCAGTTAAAATGCATTTTTAGCAAGAATTTCAGATTTCACAACTTCACTGGGCTGGTTCCGGAGCATTTTTTCCTTAACCATTCACTGCTTGCTTTTGTCTTTGTTGTGATTTATTTCCTTGCGTGTTCACATGGCATTAAAGGTTAGGAAGCAGGCATCACCCAGTCGAGACTGCGAGGGTCCCCTGAGAGGACAGGCTTGAAGGGGACTGCAGGAGCCAGCAAGAAACCGCAGCTTCCGGTCTAACGATGGCTGAAAGCAGCCCTGTCCGGACTGGTCCGCTGTGCACACTGTCCTCCCGCCTCTCTTTCTAATGGATCACAACCTGCCTGTGTCTGGAGCTCCTGGGACAGGACCTGCCCTCTGGACACCGTGCTGGGGCCGCCTGAGAGCATCCGGACTTCTTGCCTGGATGAGTAGAGTATCAGATTGTCTGTGTTTCAGTTTGTGGACCATGGAGGGTCCAACAGGAAATTCGCCGGTATGATTCATGCAGGACTTGCTGGGCCACATTTGTGATAGTGTAGCATGTTTCCCTCATTTCCAAAGTAAGTAAACACCCTCTGGAAGAGAACGGATCTCCTAGCACCTGCTTCGTAAGACAACACCCTAACACATAAATCCTTCCTCATAACTGGGAATGCAGTTTGGTCCTACACTACCTATTAGAGTAAACTATGAATCAATTTGAACTGTGGATGTTTTTTCCTCAAAAAGAAGCTTATCTAAATCTGGCAAAGATTTTCTCTGGTGAAGCACAATGGAAAGCTCGAAGTGGGGGACACACCCCGTTTCCTCTCTGAAAGCCCCAAATCTGATCCGCCTCCACAGCTTCTAGGAACATATATGAAACAATGTAGCTCTAATTGTTGGCAATTAATATTTTGTATCATGTTGGCTACCTAGTAAGTGGCAGAGCTGGGAGTGAAGTCCAGACACAGTTACACACACACACACACACACACACACACACACACACACACACATTTAACTTGAGTATTTCTGTGACATACCCGGCTGAATTAAATGTATTTTTAAACAGCACCTGTTCCTTATTACAGTTCTAACAGCTACTGGAAGGTACGTGATTACTCCGTGTGTCTCACATTATATTCCTGTTGGAGAAGTGGGACACATTTTTTTTTTCCTTCTGCAGCTCTGCTTGCATGGAAGTTTCTAAGTTTAAGAAATGGAGACACCATAGACAAAAAGCCAAAAACTACGTGAGATCTGGATCTGGGTGCCTGGAAGAAGTCACTGTTCCTGACCGCTGTGGAAAGCGGTGGGACTGCCCGATTTTCGAGTGCCAGGGTGGGGTTTGATGTCACAGGGCCTTTCCTGCAAGGAGGGGGGGCCTGTCTATTTCCACCTCTAACTGTGTGTGCTGAGATAAAAGGGACAGACGTGCATCTGAAAATCCAGACTCCAGAAGCAAGCTGTGAAGTTAGAAAGGTTTGTAGTGCCAATCTTGTATTATAGTAGGAGTAGACCCACAGGGTCCTGGAAAATTACTAAGCCCTGGTTTATAAACCCAGCTCTGCCTGTTCTTTAGCCAAATCAAGAGATCATTTGTTTTTCTTTAACATTGCTATTGTATTTTTCTACGTTTCAGTTCCCCCTGCCAAATTCCTCTCTTGCTCCACACCTCCCACAGGACGGGGCTGAGCACTGAGGCATGAAAGCTCCCAGAGTTTCCAGAAGGACTGGCTCGCAGGAACTGTGGAGGAGGAGGGGGGAGGACCTCGGTCAGGAGTGGGCCACGGATGGATGTCCTGACTTTGGATAAAGACAGAGGACGCAGTTGGTTTGCTCTTTAAGGATCCACGAGATCCTCTCTGCTACTCTGCGTGAAGGACGAGGACGACAGGCTCAGACTCCTCTCATGACTTCAGTTCATCAGTAGGAGGCTTCCTCTTCATACAGAGGCAGTTTTAGTTATTTGTCCTTGGGGTGCATTTATGTATAGACAGACGTAAAACTGACAACTTTCTACACGGAACAGTGTGCATCCAGCAAATTAAACTACATTAGACTATGTTGATAATTTATTTATAAATTAGTCAAAATTGTCACAGTTCAGAAATAAAAATTGGAAATGCTCAGATGATTAAGCCTGATTGAGTCATTCTAATAGTTATGAGGAAGAAAATGTACCGGCCTATACCAGTGTGATTTTCATTTGATTGAACAATTATGTCTAATAAAGATATTAAACTTTAAATGTATAGCCGTCTTGTCTTATAGAACCTAATGTGTGAAACATGAATTTCTTTTTATTAAATTATCCAGCTTACACAAGTCCCATCATCATATAGGTAATTCCACTACTCCTGGCTCTCAAATCACTGAATGAGTAGGGTGCGCTCATGTGTATTTCAGGGCATCATGGCTCACGGGAGGTTGAGCTTTCCATGGAGAAAAAACAACATCGGCCCTACTTCCTTGCTGTTTGAGCCCAGCTTCTTCCTATTAGTTTCCAGTGCCACGAGTGTGTGGGGAATCAAAATCCACAGCTGTCCGCTTCACTAAACAGCCA